GTCTCTACTAAAAAAATAGAAATTAGCTGGGTATGGTGGCACATGCTGGTAGTCCCAGCTACTCGGGAGGAGGAGGCAGAAGGATTGCTTGAGCCCAGGAGTTTGAGGTTGCTGTGAGCTAGGCTGATGCCACGGCACTCTTGCCCGGGCAACAGAGTGAGACTCTGTCTCAAAAAAAAAAATCTGCAAGGAGAGTGTTCTAGGTAGAGGTAACAGCATGCGGAAGAGGCTTCATTTGAAAAAGATGGAACTTTACCAATATTTTGATTTGCCACCACAAAATAGCTCTGTTGCTTAGCAAAACACTAGGCAGAAGAATGGGACCCAGAAGTAGTTGGGCTTCAAAAAGAGGAAAAACTCTAAAATCTAAAGTCCTGTGAACCTTATTTGTCATTCTCACCACATCAGAGAATTCTGTGATGATGGAAAATCAAATCACAAACAACATCTTTCCCATCTTATAATTGCGCAGTTAGGTTTTGGGAACAAACAGCAAGGCTTCACACTTTTCTTCTTTTTAAGTATTTTATCTACGTGATGGAGGCCTTTATTCTGGATTATCAGCGTTTCTTCGGATCTCAGCTCTGGAATCCAACATATTGAAAATCCCTCCCGATTTACTGGAATGTGCAAATTTATCCAACATGCCGTCTATGTCATTTTCTCATTTACTGCAAAAGATAACTAGAGCAGACTGTGCATGGAGTCCTGTGGGAAATGGTTAGAGACCTGTACCCAGGCCAGCATAAATCCGTGTCTCGCAAGGCACACCTCAGGAATCCAATATAAATTCTTAGCCAATCTTTCTTATCATGTTTCTAAGAATATGATGAATTGTTCATCAAATGTCTTTCTTAAAGCCATACATTTATAGTAATTATTGGGAAGTTGGCTTATCAAAAAATCAGAAATGATCTCTAAGCAATATAGATACTCTTCTAAAATTTTTCCCGTAAGCATCATCTAACGCTTCCATTTCTTCATCCTGAAAATAATTTCTAGTAAACTCACTACCACTGCTTTTTATCTCACTCAGAAATTTTAGAATAAGAGTCTAATCAGCGGGCAACGCAGCAGAGATGGGATGAAAATAATTGTCATGCTCAGGTGGGATTAAAGGAAATCTCAGTTGTTCCCCCTCCCCATTCCCCTTCACTTTCAGGCACTGGGGCCCCCCTTCCTACAGGACAGTAAAAGCAACAGCCCATGGTTCTAGTTTTGCCTCTGTCTGCCTCCTCCCCACTGAGGAGGAGGGACTAGGGGTAGGACCAGGACTCGGGCAGGAATGGCCTAAAGCCAGAGTTTTCAGAACAGGGACCTGGCTCTATTCGCAGAGCTATTTCCCATCCGGCTTGTTAAATTACACCACTGGGGTGCGTGGGTTGCTGCAGTTTGTTTAAAACTTTTCATGACCTGCTCCGCACAAAGGCTGCCCGTGCCCTTTGCCCAGCTGCCTCCTCCGTGGACCCTGTCGGTGCACAGGCACACATTTCTCACCTCTCACGGTGCATGGCACAGTTACACTTTACAGAGCTGTTCACCAAGTGCACCATAGCACCCAGGAGCCCATAAAACAAATCGAGTCATCGAGAGCCTCCGGAGTTCTTAGGTAATGGCCATAACAGAGGCACAAAGGTTAGAAAAACAGGAAAGTTAGAAAAAATGCTCCTGGATAAAGGGAAATAAATGCCTACAGGAAAGGAATGGGGGAACTTTTCAAAACGTTTATACTTGGTGAGGTGCAAGAATAGAATGACAAAATAAAGGCAAGAAGAATCCAAGTAGAAAGGAGATTGGGTTATTGTGCAACTGAGCACCTGGAAAAACAAAAGCAATGAGCTGATACGATGTTGAGTAACCACATGTGAGCAGCATATCACTTTCTCATTCAGCAAATATTTCTTGAGCATCTACTATGGTAACATAAGCAGACACAATCCTTGCCCTTCTGAAGCTTGGTGCTTAGTAAGAGACACGCCTGCACATGAGTATCTGTACTGATTCTTAGGAGCAATGACAAATTCATCCAGGCTTCACTGCAGGCACACTCCAAGGCAGGGCAGTCAAAGACTGGGGAACAGAACTACTTTCTGTCTGAAATCTTCTGAAATCTTGTAACATTAAATGCACTACTCATTTGGAATTTATCTTGTATGCCATGCATTATTAATTGTACTAATTTAGAGGTTTAGTTTCATAGCCTTTGAAGAGTATGAACTCCTTAAAGATACACACCTGTAATTCTAGCACTTTGGGAGGCCAATGTGGGAGGATCACTTGAAGTCATGAGTTCGAGACCAGACTGAGCAACATAGTGAGACCCTGTCTCTACGAAAAACAGAAAAATTAGCTGGATGTGGTAGCATGCACCTGTAGTCCCAGCTATTCGGGAGGCTGAGGCAAGAAGATTGCTTGAGTCCAGATGTTCGAGGTTGCAATGAGCTATGATAACACCACTACAGTCTACCCAGGGAAATACAGTGAGACCCTGTCTCAAAAACACAAAAAACAAAAGACCTATAATTTTAGATTAACCAAAGGCTCAAAAATAGCCCTTTACACACAGGTTCTCAAAAATAATTTTTGAATTAATTGTTCTGTAGATCTGTTACTCTACTGCCCCTTGCCCCACACACCCACCACTCCACATATCTAGTCTATTCCTTTCAATCCTGATAGTATAAAGCAGTGATTCTTAACCAGCAGCAGTTTTGTACCCCCTCCCACCAATCCCGGGGACATTTGACAACGTCTGGAGACATTTTTATTTTTGCCATGACTGGAAGAGAGTGTACCACTGGCATCTTGGCTTAGAGGCCAGAGAAGCTGCCAAGCATCCTACAATGCACAGGGCACCCCACCCCCACCACAAAGAATTACCTGGTCCAAAACAGTGCTGAGATTGCTATAAAGTATAAATAGTAATGGAAGAGATATGTTCTATTCGTTCATTTATTCATTTATTTGTGCCATAAATCTTCTCCAAATATATTTAGTAGTCAGAGAACTATAGAAATGTGGTGAATCTTAAAAAGCAGTATACCTGGAAAGTTTTGCGGGGGAAAAAGTCCCACTTTTCTCCTAGTCGTTACCTTGAAAATTTG